GTGTTTTTCAGCTGCAGGGACAGGACGCCTGGTTGCAATCGAGGGAAAGATGAATGCGGCCAAGTACAGGGATATCCTGGACGAAACCCTTCTCCAGAGTGCTCAGGACCTCAGACTGGGCCGCAGGTTTACCTTCCAACAAGACAATGACCCTAAGCACACAGCTAAAATAACGAAGGAGTGGCTTCACAACAACTCTGTGACTGTTCTTGAATTGCCCAGCCAGAGCCCTGACTTAAACCCAATTGAGCATCTCTGGAGAGACCTAAAAATGGCTGTCCACCAACGTTTACCATCCAACCTGACAGAACTGGAGAGGATCTGCGAGGAGGAATGGCAGAGGATCCCCAAATCCAGGTGTGAAAAACTTGTTGCATCTTTCCCAAAAAGACTCATGGCTGTATTAGATCAAAAGGGTGCTTCTACTAAATACTGAGCAAAGGGTCTGAATACTTAGGACCATGTGATATTTCAGTTTTTCTTTTTTAATAAATCTGCAAAAATGTCAACGATTCTGTGTTTTTCTGTCAATATGGGGTGCTGTGTGTACATTAATGAGGAAAAAAAATTAACTTAAATGATTTTAGCAAATGGAACAAAGAGAACAAAGAGTGAAAAATTGAAGGGGGTCTGAATACTTTCCGTACCCACTGTATATATATATGTGTGTGTATTATGTAATATATCACATTATATTTTGCAGTATATTCACATATATTTTTGTTGTGTAAGGGGATTCTAGTTAAGGAAACAATCTGAGCACAGTGTGAAATATATTCTAAAACTTTAAGGAGACCATTGTGAGAGTGTTAGAGTTTTTGTCTCCAGAGACAAGTTTAAAAAGGAGGCGTCTCCATTCGATCTTAAAGTAACCTCATTTCTCTCTAGGAGAAATATTTGAGATTGTTAAAGAAATCTTACTTTTGATTTTTCTTTCCTCTGGGCTGATCCAATAGTCCGTTTGTTTTCTGTGTAGACCCACAGCTTAATTATGCAAAACACAGAAACACTGTCAGTGTGAAGCTCTACATCTGTGTCAGATTCACATTTATAATACTTACACTTGTAGTTTGAAACTTCATGTTAATTCATGCACAATGATCACTGATCATCACTTCCAGAGTTTGAACCTACAGACATGGTTTTATCAGTTCAGATAAATTCATCTGGATTCCTGGATTCATGTGTTCACTTGATGATTTAGTGCCAGTAGTTTTCTGTGACGTTCACTATCATCTGTTTGTCCTGCAGAAGCAGCTGAAGGAGACGCAGAAGACGCTCCAGCAGAGAATCCAGCAGAGAGAGAAAGATCTTCAGCAGCTGAGAGAGGCTGTGGAGTCTCATAAGGTGAGTCTGGAGAAGAAGAGAAGTTTGTCTCCGTCTCAGTTCAGACTCACTGAAGCCTGAATCACTGTGTGTCCTAACAGCGCTCTGCACAGACAGCAGTGGAGGACAGTGAGAGGATCTTTACTGAGCTCATCCGCTCCATTGAGAGAAGCCGCTCTGAGCTGATACGGCTGATCAGAGATCAGGAGAAGACTGCAGTGAGTCGAGCTGAAGGACGACTGGAGCGACTGGAGCAGGAGATCAATGATCTGAGGAGGAGAGACGCTGAGCTGGAGCAGCTGGAGCACACACAGGATCACATCCAGTTCCTGCAGGTAACACAGATCTACAAGAACAGGCTCAGAGTGGACTTGAGCGAAAGTTATCAATAATGCTCAATCTAATCGTAGCCTTTGAGCTGCTTTTCCTGAGCAAATCTACTCAACTCTACAATGAGACTCCATTGATGTGCTTGAGCTGTTAGATGGACATTTATGATCTTAGCAGATGTTTTATCATCCAAACGGTTTCCTAGAAAGTTCACATAGAGTGTAAGTGTCAAATACTAGAATCTGTAGCTCTAATGTGATATAATGAATATGAGAAGAATGAAGCTGATGCTGTGAAAGTGCTGGATTGAG